TTTCATGGTAATTAACCTTGTTGTGAAGTTTGAAGTTAATCCGTTAATAATTACTCGAGATATCGAGCGGACACTGTTTCGGCAAGTCCATAAAGGGGCATAACTCCACAAATTATGGTCGGATAATGGCGGTAATTGAACTAGTCCGAGCTTTTATGGTAATTAACCTTGTCGTGAAGTTTGAAGTTAATCCGTTAATAATTACTCGAGATATCGAGCGGACACTGTTTCGGCAAGTCCATAAAGGGGCATAACTCCACAAATTATGGTCGGATAATGGCGGTTATCAACCTTGTTCGAGCTTTTATGGTAATTAACCTTTNAATACCTTTGGTAGGACAGGTCACCCCATACCTTTGGTCAGAGAACCCTTATTAACAATATACAGTAGCAACTAAATCTTTAGTATTTGTCTTGCATATAGTGTAATGTCAGTGTTTAATGTTTTTATTTTGATAAAGGCACAGACTGTCTTGAAAACTTAATAAAACGTCTGCACTGTCGTTATTACTGCTTCTATATGTTATAGAGGGGAGTTGGTATTATCGACCAAATCGTTAGCAATCATCACTATACACAACAAACAGGTATCTATAGAAATGACCTTCAAATGACAGATAACACACATTGATTTTCGAGACAATTTTGTCTTCTGCCGACCAAAAAATAGCTTTCTAGTTGTCAATACCACTTAACCCGGCCTACGGGTATCGATAACCTTAGAATCAGCCCCTTCAGCACAGCTCTTTATAAATCAATAAACTTGAAACCCCCACACAAAGTAGAAATCAATGTGTTTGTACAGCTACAGGTACCTGTACAGACTTATCATATAACCTACCAGCGAGTTAGAAAACATTTTCTATATTTCCTGTAAAGGTAAAATTTCATCAATCACAGAATTGAAATTACATTCTTAATAAAGGAATATAGCAATTCTCAGGCAGAAATCTTGTATCTTATATTTCAAAAAGGAAACGAACGAAAAATTATCATTTACAGGTGACTAAAGACATCAATACAAATACTGAACAAGGATTATGTACAGCGATGTATACAAACATGTAAAATCTCTGTCCTCCTATCTACTACGAATAGTACAAATACTAAGGTACAACGTTTTTGTGATTCTATTTGTAGATGTCAGAAGATTCAATTTAAATGTAAATTTAATAGAAACTTTAAACTTTACTGATACTAAAAAATTGGGTTATGTAAAATGAACAAACATATAAGTTATTCCAACTTCCTAGTTTCAATAATCTTTTTTGTTATCTACATAATTTCCTCTGACATAAAAATAAACCTGTAGATATCTATCTACATGTTAAGCGAGACTCGTCTGTTTGATCTAACTTACGTATTTCAGTTTTCTGTGTACTATATAACAGAATATTTAGTTAGTGTATTTACTCCAATATTAAAAACCTGTACACAGGATATGAAACTACACATATCAATCTAACATGATTGCCTCGATATTATATAGACTGACTTATCAATATTCTAGAGCCTGTTTAGTGTGGTGTGTACAATCAGTTTTACCTGAGCTAGTGAACAATCTCAGGATTAATTATTTCATGATCCATTCTATATATATATATAGATATAGAAATTAAAATATCTTGATGAATAGGCTGATACATAGAAAGTCTGGTTGGTACAAAAGAATCTTTAATCAGGTGTGACCATACCTGATAGTTCAGAAACCTTTTAAGAAATACCGGTACCTCAAATTGGGGGCTGGGTAAACCTTTTTTTATTCATCTGAAATATGTTCATTCAGATATGATATACACCTAGAGATGATCCTGAAGATAGTCTGTAGTATGTATAGGTATATATCCAAACTCCAATAGAGACACAGTGTCAATATTGTAACAAAGTATAGGTTACATAAAACACACAAAGCCCCTCAAGGGACAGTGTTAGCCTGACAATGTGATATAGGTCTGGGGGTATCCCAATTCACTTCTATATCCCAGTACACTGTACCCTCCAGGGACAGTGTTAGCCTGACAATGTGATATACGTCTGGGGGGTATCCCAATCCACTTCTATATCCCAGTACACTGTACTAAGTACTAGGTGGAAGGCAATATAT